ACCGTAAAGTCCTTTTCTCTGGTCTTCCAGACATTGTTTCTCCTTGTTTTCTTAGTTGGATCGAGTTAAAGCTGAACACTAACAAACAAATAATCAAAAGGGGAATGAGAAAGAAATGAGATACGCACGGATATGACTAGCAGCCACAAAAATAGAGTCATCCACACAGCGTGACGCACACCACATGCACGGAGACCACCGCAACGACGAAAAGCGGGCACCATCCACCCAGCACAGTGTTGGAGAGGGTCTACAACAACAACGTGGTGGGCGCGGAGGGTTCGCCCACGCATTCCGCTCGCTACGGTCGCACACCCGTGTGGCACCTCCGTCACCGCACACACTCCAAAAGAGGACATGCTCGCACAACGCCGCTGAAACACACAAACACCGCAGTGCTGTCAGTCCGCGGGTGAGAGGATTCGGCCCTCCACACAACAAACGCACACACCGCCACCGCCCCCAGTTCAATCCCACAGCCAACGGGATGCGGCCACATCCCCGCAGCCAACACACAACGCACCCGGAGCGAGCACCCACCCCGCCAGCCACACGTTGAAGTGGGTCCTCACCCATCCGCGACGCGGCGCCAAAATTTACACAGCCATCCCGCTTTCAATGGAATGGCAGTGCTTCACTCAGTGACACAAAATAAATATTCACCTGGGCCGCTTTCCTCATCCTGAGGTTATCAATCACAGAAAGCAAACTAGACGGGAACGAGAAGTAAATGGAATAAGAGCGGGTTCACCACATCCCCAAACTTTACACCAAGTAAATGTATGTATATATACATCATCCATTAGCCACAATTGTGGCCCGCTCACTCTACTCGGATTGGATATATATATATTAATTGAGAAGTGGCAGAATTTGGGGTCCTCCAGCCAAAAGACCCCGCCGCTGCCCTTCGCAAGTTCCACCCCTTCGTCAGGTCCTGAAGCGTAAAAACACGACCGCGTGATATGCCGTCTGCAGGGTTCTCGGCACACCGCACGTAGGCAACGGATGCCTGTAATCTGCGAGAGTCCAAAAACTCATATATCCGCCGCAGCTCCCACGCCATGGCGTTTGATTTTGAGCTGCCTTTATTCGCCGCTCCTTGCAGCGAAGTGTTGTCCACCCAAACGTCCATGGTGGGCAAAAAGAAGGCGGAAAAAGCCGATAAGGCTAAGCGTAACGCGCGTGCCTCGGCCTGCATGATAGGAAAAGGCTCTTCCACTCTCTTCCGGCGATTTTAACGTCGCCGGTGTCTGGAATGAAAACGGCTCCCCATCCACGGAGCGACACATAAGTGATGATGGCGGCCGATGCCTTTTCCGTGGGCTTGATGATCCACCTACGATTATATTCTCGGTGCTGTGCCGCAATCTCTCATCCAAACCAACCGCTGACGGCGGAAGGTTTGCCGGGGATGTCTCCTGCACAATCCCCCGGTTAAGTGCCGTTAATCGTCGTCGCACTGCCTTGATGAAAAAGTAGTAAGCACATAAACGCCTGAACAAAAATGGCCGCCGCGTACAAAAAGCGTGACGCCATAACCTCCATTTCTGCGATGGTTAAATACTTCAGCAACGGCATGGCGCACACAGACCGGACAAACTCATCTCTCAGGGACACCGCCCGGTGAGTATGATCAAACCGCACCCCCAGGAAGGTGTAATGCGTGGCGCCCAATTCGCGATCCTCCCCCATCGTGGCGTGACGGCCATCCGCATTACGAAGTACTTGGACTTCCCACAATGTCGCGTCGCTTTTCGACACTGCAATGCGTATATCATCGATCCATACGTCGATACGCACCAATGGAGGTGCAGCTCGGAGAAAGTGAACCACCGTCGTCACCCCCGCAATTGCCGAAGTAATAATGATCTGGAGAATTTCTGGGCTGGCCTTGTATCCCATTGGGAGCCGTGCCAGCTCCACCAGCGTGCCATCCTCCACGCGGCATCAAAAGAGATGCCGAGTCCCCGCAGCAACAAAGAAAAAAGGATGCCTTTAAATCCAGGCAGGAAGCGGCCTCAGTTATCACAGGTGGCAAATAATGGGAAATGTGTAAAAGAGGAGCATGAGCCTCGTAAGGGTCGTCTCTCTTCTCGTCGCGTGGCCACGCGATCCATCGTCGTCGTGAACCGGTGGGTTTTCTCCTCCACCACAGAAAAGGGCATCATCCATCCGCCGCTTGTTACTGTGAACGAAGCGTCCTCGATTATTCCCGCTTCTTTCATTAATCGCACGTCAGCGACTGGAATCCTCCGTGAGCCTTAGCGCGCGTTACCGGAGGAGGATAAAGGTAAAGGGGACCGCCCAACGTGTCCACACAATTGCATGAGTCTCTCCAAGGTGGCCGGGTTCAACCGGCTCTGGATCCACTCCAGATTCAATACGGGCACATTAACTTGTTGTTGTAGCGGAATGGTTCGTTCCTCTTGTGGAGTGGCCGGACGCGTCCTTGTCGTGCGTCTTGTTATTGTAGCAGCATGATACCAAAAATCATGGAAAAACACTCCTCCGCTCACAACCAGGGTTCCTGCTCTTCCGCAGTGTCTCCCTTCACATCAATGCGACCAGCGACGACACCTGGGTCAGCATTGTGGTGTGCCTCCTCAAATATCGAACAGTATTCTGGGGAAGGTCGAACGAATCGACGTGCACCGCCAACTGCGAGATCACGTGTGGGTCCCAATCGTATGTCTCCACAATTTGAGTCGCGTGTCTCAGCGCACCCCGTTTTGTGGAATGCGCCGTGGCATTCCAAGGAGCCAGAGCTCGCTCCACGTGGGCAGCCGTCAAATTCGTGAGCTTCTCGTTGTGTCGAAGTGTCCTGCATAACTTTATAGTGTCTAGCACGTCCTCCTGCCCTCGTATCCTGACGGACCGTGAGGCGCGGTGGGGATCCGCTTTCGCCGTCTTTCAGGATACGAACCAATCCAGAATTATGGTCCCGTCCGGCTCCAGTGTGGAGTTGTTGGGGTTAAGGCCGCAATCTCGGGCCAACAGCTCGCCGTTATCCACGCAAGTCGTAAGACAACACGTTGCTTCCAATCGGTCCGGCTTCGGATATATTGATCCACCCTTCCTCTATCAAGTGGCGCGCCTGCTTCGCCTCTTATCGCGCCGCAATTTTTGTAGCCCCAGAATCGCCATGCCCAGCGGGGTTCGATCCATTTGCAACATGGACCGCAGCATCCTGGCGTGCTGCCGTCGGGTCGATGGCGCCACGCAGACTATTGCCGCCAAAAAGGCCGCGCAGCTCTCCGCGTTGATCGGCTGTTTGTGCGTGCAGCAAAAGGCTGTAAATTGCCCGCTATGGACATTCTCTGCTGCCACGTTGACGGCGCACACATCTCTCGAGCCACCTCGTTCGCTCCCCTCATGTAGCTGGCCCAAAGCGGGGATGTCGGAGGTTCGTCGTACCACAGTCGAATTTCTTTGCGGATAAGCTCCATTGCCCTTCTCGTCAATTGTTTCGGGCGATTCAAAATATCGGATGAAGTGTCTGCGGCACGGTGCGATGCCTGTGAGGATTGGCGGGAGGTGGTGGAATGGATGGGGCTGTTTTCGTCCGCCCACGTAAGCAGCCGGCAGCCCCTCGCCGTTTTTTAATGGCCGACTGCGCTGCGAGTAATCCCTACTGGCTGCGCTGCGCACGTTGCGTGTAGATGCATCGTGTCCATAAATACGACACAACTGACTTCGCGACAATCGTTGTTTTTGTTGGGTTACGCGCCGCTCCACAAGAGGCTGGGTCGCCCTCGCGAAGGTGTCAGCCTCGTGAACGGCCATGTGAAGGCGGGCACGAAGTGTGGAGGGCGGGATATGCTGGGGTCGGTTGTTATCGCGATCTGCGTCCGGAAGGTCTGCGGTAGGGCCCTGCCAAAATCCATGAACTGATCGGTGGGCTCCCGATCTATCTCCGGCGCGCGTCTGCACGACACCAAACCGTCGATGGCCATTTGAACCTGAGAGTCCACTTAGCGCAAACAATAACCGTATGCGCATCGGAGGTCGACGAGGACTCCGGAGACGACGTCATTCCATACACACGGGGCCCAAGTGTCAACGTCCAATGCAAGGAAATGCAGTACCTGATCCTCTGCACCGGAGTCATCTTCCAAGGGGAAGGTGTGGGAGGGCAAAGACATCGAGTGAGGGAGATGTGGTCGCCCAAAATTGCCCTGAGACGTATGGGTGTTGACCCGCCGTCTCTCTCCCGTGAGATTGCGTTGGGGAAACGTGGATGCTGGCACGCCCCCAGCCATCAAACGATGCCGTTGGTGCGGTGTGTGTTTACGCCATCTGGTGGCCCTCTCCGAGAGGTGGGCGCCTCGCGTTGACACGGCGTCTCCGCGTCCCGCAAGAAAACCGCCGGCCACCGCAATGTGAGATCCGCGTGCCGACAAGTAATTATGCACCTCTTCCACCTGAGAGTAAAGCTGAGCACTCCGATCCGCAACGTCCGCGACGGCGCTGGCGTAGTCGGTGCTCAGTCTCTGCCCTCCAGCAATGATCAGCCCCTGCTGGACCCCCAACTCCCGGGCAGCACACACACGATGGGCAGCAGCACTCAAACTTCGAGATTAGGTACTTGAGGCGCCCGGTGATTCGCAAAGTGCCCCGCAACGGTCGACTCCTCCCAGTGCATGGCGATGTTTCCTGAAACCAAGCGTAAGCCTGTCATTGTTGCGGCGGCGGCTACCACCGCATCCAACGGCCCGTGTTCATCAACGAAGGCGAGCTGCACCCGTACATCGCCATGCTGGCTTGCCAAGTCCAACATGCGGGCAACAATGTTGCTCCTCCCCGTCGCCGTGTAAAAGAAAACACTGCCATTTCCTTCAATCAGCTTGCACGGATCCCGTGTGGCTGTGAAAACTAAAATAATTGCAAATCGTCTGGACGCTAACAGTTCCCTGATTCCCTCAATCGCGGTCAACCAAACATTCACAAAATAGAAAAGGATCGTGAAGAAATATCTCCGTTTTACCAGGACACATATACATTAGGGACGCCAGCCTACCTCATGAGCATCCTCCCCACAAGCTCCCAATGAAACAAAGACATATTTCTGTACTATTCCTTCCTATCGCATGAATTCCTTTAGAAGACGGCGATGGAAGCAACCAAAGGAACCGATAGCGTCAGGATGAATATTTTCATTTATGCCGTACCATCCGCCCCCTCTCTTGATTCCCACCGTCGCGGCGGGGTCTTGTGGCTGGAGAGGCCCAAAGTCTGCCACTTCGTAAGCTATAAAAATAGGTATATCCGAATAGAACGTTCAACATGTCACGAGAGAGGGACCACCAGAATATATAAATATACACATATATGCGGAGCAAGCAACGAGGTTTGGCGAACCCACTGCCTCTCCGTTTACTCATTCTCCCTTTCCGTCGTATTTTATTTCCTTCGGAAATTTGGGGATCCGGCCAGCAGCCCAGACAAATAATTCCTTCCTTTCTTCCTCCTGTTTGCGTGTGTGCCACAGGCACGGTTTGATTCAAGTGGCATTGGCGCCTCCACGCAACCATATCCTTCCGTTGCCGCATTTGCGGGGCAAGTGAGTTTGAGTATCCAGAGCACACACACACACACACACACGGCCGCAACGAGAGGGACGGGGCGCATCCAATTCCACGGCGCAGTCCTTCACTTCTCTCCGCCCCGACGGAATAGCGCTGCGCCTCACAGCGGGTCGTGGCGGGTGGCGTCCCACACTCACAATTGAGGCACGGCGCACACCATCCGCTCCCTCCAAGTGCACTCAGCAGGCCGGCGCCCAGTCACCCTCGTGCCATCGCACAGAGGGGGTGCAAAAACAATCGTCGTCGCGGACCATCGGTGCCTCTAGCAGAAAAGAAAAAGAAGAAGAAATGGGGGCGTGTCAGCAGCACAGCCAGCAGAGGGACTATAAAAGGGACACGGAGACACACAGTAACAGTGGGCACGGCAGAGACGGAACAGAGACTGTAGTGATTTACCGAAACAAAAGAAAACAAAAGAAGTTTAAAAAGCAAAAAAGGAAGCAAAAAACAAAAACAATTGATTCGGCAGATATGTCATTTCATGTGCCACGCAGCACAATACAACCGTGTTCTTGAGTTTGTACATACTGCCCGCACACACACAAATAAAAAAGGAATTGTACTCTCCCACCAGCCCACACAACATCCCTCACATTACATTGCGGCATCCGGCCTGCTCCTCCACTCCTCCTTTCGTGCAGTCCGTGGGAAGCACAGCAACGAGGCCGGCACCGCGTGTGGGCAAAAAACAAACAAACAAAAGAGAGGGAAGCACGTCACTCGTGACGGTGTTTAGAAAGCGACCATTTGCGGGAAAAGACACAAATAGGAATGCTGATTATTTCAACAGAACACCAGCAAAAAAAAAAGAGAAAGGAGAACAGGAAAAAAAAGAAAAAAAGCAAAAAAACAACAAAAAAAAAACAGGCATAAAAGAAGAAGAAAAAGAAAGTCTGCTTGACAAAGTTGAGTGAGTGATGCTGGGAGCTGCACAGTTGTTGTTCCACGAAAAGCCGCCATTCCACTCCTCCCTCAGACCTCAGCAGAGAGCCGCAGTGCCCCACAGCCCCAGAAGCAGCAGCAACAACACCCGAGACACACACCCATGCACGGTGCTCTCAGCAATTAGATACATGGCCGCCAACTCGCCCAAATGCCCGTGCTCAAGCAAAATGCCATGGCCCGAGAGTGTTGTTGCGTTGGACTCCGACGGGATCTTGGTTTCCCCAGGCGCTGTTTTTGTATTCTCCGGTTTGGTGTCGACCGTCTGTGGCACCTCCTTGCCGTCCTCAACAGAAAATTCGGCTCCTTCAATGCGAGAGATGTCGTCGGTGTCCTCCGCGGATGTCGGTTCGACGTCACTCTTTGAAGGAGTGGGGCTGCTGTCTGAGTTCATTGTTCTCTCGGAATTTCCGTCCCCCGCCTCGAGGATGAGGCTTTCCTCCGCGCCGGTGGTTCCGGTTCCAGTGGACCGCACGTCGTTGTTTTCAGCGGAAGCCTCAATGCTTTGTTGCACTTGGTGCTCACCGTCAGCTGGTGCAGCGACCGTTTCCATACTCAACGACGCAGCTACTGGAGACGTTGCTCCGCCTCTCCCGTCATTCGCTTCTTCCTCCTCCTCTGGTTGTTCTGTATCATAACTTTCAGCGGATCCTTCAAAATCACTGACCTCCGCTGACTCCTCTGACTGTAGTTCTTGTGTCTACACCTTCGAATCCCGCTGCATCGATTCACTGTCTTCATTCAGCGTGGCTTGCTGAGACGTTTCGCCCTTGGAAAGCTGGGCATTGTTCTCTGGAAGAGAATTCCCTGCACTCTCCGCTGCCATTGCGGGTTCACGAACAGATGATCCCGCGGCAACCGTGGAAGGGGGCGCTGCAGGCACCGGATCATCGACGCTTTCTTCCTCTAGTTCATCAGTATAATCCTCAGTCAATTCCTCATAGATGGCAGTGCTTTCTTCACTCCTTGACTCGGAAGCAACTGAGACGTCTGTGCCAGCCACCTGTCCTGTGGGTTGTTCCTCAACATCCAGTGATGGAATAGTGACTTTGCTGGCATTGAGTTTATGCAGTTCACTTCCAAACAGTTTCTCATTGTATAGCATGACGTTAGTAACTGTCACATGGCCGCCCGTTGCACTTCGGTCCTTACTGTCCCCACCGATGTAGAAGTGTGAGATCCTGTGCAAGTCAAACAGACTCTTATTATATTTCGTGTTGTGGATTTCCTTTCCATCTACAATGATAGTCCATTCATCAAGAGTCATTTGCAGTCCCACAAGATACGTCTTGTTTGGTTCCCACTCATCAACATCCTCCGCATCACCAGCACCCTCCGCTATGGCCAACCACTTCTTTTCATGGGTGTACGACAGACCAAGGAGGGCCGTGCTTTTGGTGTCATTCATCCTCACGCCAATCAAAGGAATGGGGCTGCTGCCTTCCTTCGGCACCTCGTGGATGGACACCGTCGCCACAAGAGTGAACTCACTGTTTGCAAAGTAGTACGGCACAGTCTGCCCCATGTCACCAACAGGCCACTCCGCCCATGATCCTTTGAACGTCAGTCCATTGGGAACTTCTCTCCTTTTTTCCGCTGACCCATGGACTGTGGCATTCACGCAGAGGTACTCGTCCTTCCATTTGTTATCAGAGAAGTTACCAGACAAGAAGCCAACAAGCCCATCAGTGGGAACGGGACCATTGCAAATACCTTTCGTTGGCAAGTCAACAGTGGCACTGGAACCGGAACGGCATGATTCAAAGGCGGTGTCCAAAGCCGCCCATGTCTTCACCACGGATTTGATCCGCTCCAGCTGATCCCTCAGGCTCACGGCGACAAGACTGTATGACCCGTCATCGCCATTCTTGTTTTCGTACACTGAGATCAACTTTTCATTCCCACTCTTCATCAACAGCGAGCTGGCGGCGGCGTCATCATTTTCACGGGATACCGGCCCAACATCATGCACGCGTGCCTTGTCCGTCAGCCAAAGGTGGAGCCGACCTTTTTGTCTATTGTCCTTCTGATACACCGGCGCGGTGATGAGCATCACCTTCTTTCCCTCAATGATTGCGGTGGTGGATCCACTCTGGACGCCGTACCCTGTTCGACCATGTGAGTTGCCCCACACGCGGGTAATTGGTTTTAAGTGATCATACCAATTGCCTCCATTCTCAGTGGACATGTAAACGTCATAGTAGCCTCCAGCACAATGAGCCATCATGAAGAGCCTTTCGTCGTCTTCGCCTTCTTCCCACTTCACCAGGGTTGGATCCCTGCAGCCGTTACCAGGCGTCTCGAATGGAAGCTCCCATATCTTCTTTGACGGGTTAAAACTCATGGACAGTAAAACGCCCTCTCCATCGTCGCCTTTGGCCTGCATGGGAAACACAATCGCGCCTTCACGCATCACAACACCCGGTCCTCCACCGCCAATCAACTTCTTCAAGGAAAGAGATTTTCCTTTGCCTTGAGGGTTCACCACATGGGTCTCATTCCATCTGATTTGCTTCTTTCCATCATCTTCAGTGACAGTTCCCTTCACGAGTAAAAGGCCCCGCTCATTCTTACCTTCAAACTCCTGCTTTGTACGGCTGTAGTTTCCCAGGAGCACGTAAACACTGTCCCCAAGTACAAGTGTCGTTGGTCGCGTTACGCCGTTTGAGGTGTTGATGCCCTCAGAACCTTCCTTTAGAAGACCTGCGCCAAAGATACTCGCATCCGCCGTCGAGAACTCCGTTGGACCAGCATCAACGTTTAAAACAAGGTGCTTTGACGCAATCCCAGTAAAGCTGAAGTCGCTGCACTTGTCTTCATCCTTGCAACGGGCCTCAGCAATAGCAAATACATGACCCTGGACCTCAACGAGGCTGGGACAACGAAGCGAGCCATATTTACTACCAGCGTTGGCCATATCCTTCCAGTTGTCAAGCCTTTCCCATTTAATCCCCATCAATGCATCAACTGCTTCCCTTACATTACTCGCCTCAGCGTGCGCAGCACCACTGGTGCCGCATAACACGACGAGGAGAAGCAGCACCGCAGAATGGAAGAGATGCCGGGACATGTTAGGCCTCTGATGCCCACTCTCTCTCCTTCCTTCCTTCCTCCTTTCGCTGGATCCGGCCACGCGAGTACGGTTGTGTGTGCGGGGTGCCTTCACAGCAGCAACGCTTGAGAGTATATTAATGCGTGTGTGTGGGCGGTGTGTGTGTGTACTGTTGTTGTTCCTTTGAGAGCCCTCAGAGTGCACAGTAGCGATTCGCGCTTGTTTTACTTCCTTTTTTTTTTGTGTGAAGGAAATGGAAAAAGTCATGGAGGAGAAACACAGCGAGTTGCAAGGGAAACCAGTGCGCACCGGCAGCAGCCACCCACCATGGACGAGGAGAAGAGACCCACCGCCTCCAGAACATTCTCACGGCCAACGGGATGCGGCCACATCCCCGCAGCCAACACATAACGCACCCGGAGCGAGCACCCACCCCGCCAGCCACACGTTGAAGTGGGTCCTCACCCATCCACCAGTCACGCGGCGCCAAAATTTGCACGGCCATCCCGCCTTCAATGGAATGCGCCGCCTCACTCATTGTCGTTACACGGAGTGCGCTATTTCTCCAAAAGAAGTTATATTTCGTCCATCCCTTAAATATGTTTCCGTTTGTGATGGGCCCTACAACAAAACAAAAGTAAAAATAAAATGGAAAACGCAGCAATACTGTGGCACCGCTAGCCACAATGATTCTACCACAAGAGAGCAATTCTCCGATTGTGCCTCGTATGCGCACACAATTAAAATAATATATGAAAATCACCCAATGTTCTTCAGCAAAAAAACAAAAACAACCCCACTCCCTCCCTAATTTCTTCCGTCACTGTTATGTTCGATAGCGTTGGACATTCTTGGCATCTGTGTGCCTCAATGCCACCTGGTGCTGGTGCACCTGCACCGCATGGAAACAAAAGCATCCAAATATATGAAAATACCCCAATATTTTTTTTCACCAGATATCAAACTATCCCTTTCATTCCCCAATTTGTCTCGTTTTCCTATTTTTTGTTTTTTCCTCACTTCTGAGAAGCTTCGCCTCTTCTAAAAACTCCAGATGGTATTGACGCTTGGTACAGGTGTACGTTTTTTTTTCCAGAAACTCAGACTTTCTTGGTTCTCCTCCTCGCTCACTGCATTGGAATTGACGACATCACGTCTCTGCCAGCCACTCGTCAGCACAATGCCTGCGTGCTGCACGTAAATAAACTCCCACGACATGTCTCGGGCAAAGTCCTCCCACCCATCAAAATACGCCGCCGGATACTCAGTGAACCGCCTCACGGTGCTGGCGTTCCTGTGATGTCGACACGCCGTAGTTATCCGCTGCCCAACCAGCAAAAATTCTTCTAACCACCGGTCCTTCACATCAATCTTCTTAGGTCCGCGTTGCAATGGAAACAATCCAAACGGCTCGGTGGGATGTCCTCCGGGGTCACCCTCAGCACGGTGTTCAGTGGTTTTTGGGGTGCTGGCGACCTCAGCTCCTTGAGTTTCTCTGCTATTTTAATGAAAAAGGCCTCATTCCTGGATGCGTCCAAAGCATATTTCTCCACAAATACAGACGTAAAAGAGTATTCATACTCTTCGTTACTAAAAACCAAAAAGCTTTTTCAAGGGGATTATCTTTAGCACAGAGGAAGCTGCTCGATCCGCGAGGTGACGAGATAATAAGTCGGTCTTAAAATCCTCGGCACCAAATCTTCCTTTTTCTCGTTTAACATACATGAGTTTGTGAAACGGATTCTCGGTAAACCATGCCGTAACTGCTTCATATGTAACGCACACTACATCATCCCGAGATTTTATCGATCTCAAGACACGATCAAGTTCATTATATCGTTTACTGAAGTCTTTCGCATCAAAGATGTAACGCAGAATCGGCCCCAGAAAAAGCATTTGATGGGAGACCATCCTCCAGTATTTCTCTTGCCCCTGTGGAGTCCAATCGCGCTTCATCCATGCACACATCGCCTTCACATCCATCTCTTCGGGGCAATTCATGGTGATTTGGCGGGAAATTCGTTGACGCACGAACTCACGAATGTCCCTTACCTTTGGGGATGCCAGCACAATCGTGCCCCATCCGGTGGAGGGCGAAAAACTTATCGGCAGCTGTGACCCATTCGTTGGCACGTCGTAGATTATATACCCTTTCATCCCACGCTGCGACAAACTCGACACAACACTCTCGGATGCTTCACTACCCACGTATTTTGTCACCGTCTTGGTGGTTTTGTCAAAGACGTAGGCCTCATCCTCTCCAAAACAGTGGACAACCACTTGGATTTTCTCGGCATTGGAGTGCAGCAGCTGGTAGAGAAGGTACGAACCGGCATTCATCGAATTCCCGATCCCGGGCGTTCCAATCAAGATACGCTGCCTAAGCGTGGGGCCGTACCCACCGTAAGTGCCAGACAAGCCTTTTAGATCGTCCTTGACGATCCGCCACGCTCGCTCCACCTCACAGTTCACATAACAGTCAACAATGGGTTTATTCTCCCTCCACGAGTACGGCCATCCCTTGTCCGAGGTGAGCACCATCAGCCTGGGACGTGGCGGTCTGAACTGCTCCACACCGTCATCCTTTTCGAAAGTTAGACCTTCCGTCTTGTAAGTCCATGACTGCGGTGGTTTTCCCTCATGTATCTCCATTCGGTCCTCAAAAATCTTATTGTCATAAAACCCCAAGACATGGCCCCACTTCGCACCGTACACAGACTCGTAGAATCCCTCCAGTTTGGTTGTCTTTTCTTCAGTATCCTGCCTCGCATCTTCTTCTGCCCTCTGCTTCGCCCTTTCTTCTGCCTCCCACCTTGCTACTTCTTTCCGTATCTGAGTGAGGGCATCGTCAAATTTTTTCCTTGCAAGGGGAGTGACAGTAGCCTTATCTTTAAATTCCCTCCAGTTTTCGAGAAACATCACATTCCCGTCCGTAAGCTTGCGCCTATCTGTTAAAAGCTGATAATCCTTTAAATTAGAAATTTCTTCAAGCAGCTGCTCGTCTTTTATGTAGGCATCGGGACTCCACAAAAATTTCCACATCTCCACATTCTGTTCTTCTTCAACGGCTGCCCTGGAGCCAAAATGCTCCCGAA